CAGCATAAGTAACTAATGAATCTGAAAAAAGAACTATGAAAAATTTTCTGCAGTATCATTAATACAATAACGAACTTGGCCGTTGGTAGCACCAATGGATTAGTCTGGTCTCTAAGTCTCCTTCTAATACGTGTAAGTTGTACATTTTCTTCCTCTTCATCTTCCGAAAAATACATTTCCACGGAGATGTCCATAGTAAATAAATATATTTATATTTTCACACAACTTTTTGTATACTCCCAGCTGATTTGAGTGGTCAAAATTAACAATTTTCAGGTTGGCAATAACTTAACGAAGACAACTAAAATTGGTTGTGAATCATAATACAAAAAATTGTTGAGTTGAGTTGTAACATCATAATAGGAGCAATTATTAATGCTAGTATACAACGAAAAAGTGAGTAAATTTAATAAGCACAACATTTGTTGAGTTTATTTTTCGTTAATTTGCCATTAATATCCAGTTTGTTTACTTTAGTGGGTGCTGACTATGGTTGCCGTATGACATTTTACGTTTGTACCATACTTTTCCTTTAAATATACCAAAAGAGATTTAAATGCAGCATGCTGAAATGTTTTTTTGCTGAAGTTTTCGGTTTCGGTAGGTTGATTATGGAAATGGAAATTTTATAATTTTAAAGCTACATCTGTAGCTATATCTATTATTTTTTTTGGGTCAATGATGGGTGTTTGGAGGAGATACTCTTGTTTTTGAATGCGTCACCATGTGATACCACAAATAAATATGAGTAAAATAACTTATTCATTCCGATATAATTAATTTGTATTTTAAAAAGGTTTTTCTTATCGAAAACTATTCAATTGTATAAAATGCCAAATAGGGGGAAAATGTACCAAGCAGAAAATAAATTGCCAATTTAATCACCAGTGGCAACTGTGCAAGTGATCAGCTGTTTCAAAAGTTGCAAGTTTTTGCAAATTTTGCGTTCTCGAACTTCCGTTGATATTTCGTCTCTTTGAGAGCGAATGCTGCTAAATTCTCAGAACTTTTGTTGCTGGAGAATTTTGTCCTCTCAATGCGAGTACACACCTAATGTAAACATTTGGTTTTTCGAATGCGTGAATTTGGGTAAGTTTTGCAGTAAATCTCAATTGTTTTGTAATTTAATTATCTACTTAAACTATTTATTTGCAGAATATATTTCCCGAGGCAGAACGGAGAGTTATCAGCACTTTCCGTGCTCATGTGCAACCTCACTAATTGTGGAATTGTTGGCCAGATGCAGCGATACTATTCTGCATGTGAATTGTGAAATATAAAGCAATTTTCTGATTTCTTCGTTGAACATATCGCTGTAATATATAAATTATGGATTATTATTATGCATTTTTTAAATAATATCGCTGAGCAACAATGTACATATGCATGTGTGTATGTATGAGTGTACATACATATGTACAAGTACATGGTTTGTGAAAGAGTGTTGTGAATGAAATGAATGAAAGCCTGCCCCAAGGATTGTACCGCCGATTAAATGAAACAACAACCAAAGCAAGCAATTGAGTAAGCTGTAATTTTATGATGAGAATGACCGAAAACCCAAATATGTTAAAATATTTAATTTCTTTTGTTTAAAGATTAGGCCATCTTAGCTTTATATTGGCTTAACTTTTCAAATGGGCGATTCTATGCTTTGACGCGACACTTTCGGCAGGAGCACGGCATATTGCACATTTGCTACAAGAGTGCCATGATCCAAAAATGAAAAACTCGCATTGTAAAATGAATAAATATTTTGGTCTAGTGAGGTACTAGTAATCGATACAGCTATGAAATTTTTACATAAAAGAACAGATAGCGATAATTTCTGCATACTTAACTCGATTTTATATTATTTTGAATTGCCACTCTTGCAGCAAATGTGCGATATGTATGCATAACGTAAATAATTTCAATTTCGTATTAGAATTTCTATTTGGACCGTGTTTTTATTTACATTTTTACTAATTATGCATGTAATACATATGTATGTAAATTATGCTTTTGAAATTCATTTGTTTTATGCATATTCATCCAAAGAAGTTAAATAAATGATATTGAAACTTAAATCGCAGTCTAATACCGATACAGCAACGGTATGAATTACATGTTTACTTATTATTTAACCTTAAAAGTAAAATTATTTCTGTTAATACGTCGCTTAGATTTGACCTGTAGTCATTCACTATATATCTCAGTGTCGAAAATGCACGCTCTACACTCACTTGCGTTGACGGCGTTGCGTGAATAATTTGAGAAAGCTGGTAGAAAATTGTGTGTGAAAACTTTTTTCTTTCCCAGAAGTCGGCTAAATTGGTTTTAGTGTCGGTGGATTCGTTGAATGTTTCAATAGCCAAATAAGCTTCTGAAGTGTATGAGGCGCTGTATGTAGGTGAACTTATTTGATTTAATAATTTACCAAGTAAATCGGTACTTGTATCTTCGATACTACTCTCGCTCTCTGTTATAGAAATGCTGTGGGGTTGTGCAGACTGCAAAAAATATGAAAAAATAATATAGCTTTGGTGATATTGAAAATAACAATAATCATAAAAAGTACCTGTCAAAAATCGCACTAGCTTTTAAATGTAGCATTTTCAAATGCTCAACGCCTATTACTCTAATATGCGCAAATTCAGGACTTAGCAATAAACGATGTAATCTGGGGTTTAAATAAATGGCTGCAGCTACTGTTGCATTTTTTATTAGCATTTTCTTCCTTTTAGTAATCGAATGGAATAAAAGTCTTGAAATTTCAGATGCATCGGACCTTTTTTTTTACCGCCAAGCACATTTTCAAAAACATTGCTATGAAGTCGCCAAAAAGCAAGTTTTGGTTTTGTAACTTTTCTGTAGTTGCCTTTATAGGAGCAAAACTAATAAAAAAATCGTCTACAAAACTCCAGTCTACATCTGAGTTTTCAAAATTATGATCAAAGAAATCTCGAACAGCTTTTAAGCGCTTCACCAAATCCATACGGGTGGGGCAGTCAGCTATCGGTGGTAACAAATTATTATTGACCAGAAGTCGATGTACTGCTGGTGTGCGAAGATTTTTTGCAGTTAATCGAAATTTTTCAAACTTCAATTTTACATTTTCGTTTTTTATTACATGGTGTACACTCAATTATATCGTGGGAGCGGCACATCTTATAACAGCAAGAGAATCTGAAATTGAAATTATAACACAGTGCTACAAAGAAGAATGAAGTAGAAATACCTGGGAAGTGATGTAAATTTTCTTGTATGCCTTGTCGAGTAAGGTACTAAAAACTGGGTTTTGACCATAAGTCAAGATTTTTGGAGGTGTTCGGCAAATTTCATATTTCGATTCTTGTTTTATTTGACAAGACCTACAACAAAAAATAACATCACTTCCCATGTATTTTGGAGTGCCGCACAGTATAACGTATTGGGCATGATAAAAAAATGAATTTTAAAATTATTTTATTTGGCATGGTTTTACCTCATAGTATTTTTATCATGGTATTGAGAGGTAATTGATTACTTGGACTTACTGAGGTGAGAGGTCATACAATCGTCGAACTGTGGATCATCAAAAATGGTATCGCACGTTACAATCAATATGATCGCCTTCGTCATCATCAGAGTCAAAATCTAATATATTTGTACTTTCTTCATTTTCATTATCGACTTGTAAAAGGGAACCACACTTGACCATATTTCGACCGTTGTCGCTGGTGATACTGTATATTTGCTCAATATTAATTTCATATCTACATATGAAGGATAACAAATAACTTTAATAATATAAATGGCAGGAACTAAGACCATTTTTTGTGAACTTACCTTTCCAATGCCTCCAAAATTAATTGCTTTAAATTATCCGCCGTGTGCTGCTCTTTGAAATTTTTTACGACTAGAGTCTTGACTGTAATTTTCCCTTCACCTAACAATTGCGCATTTACGCAAACAACGCTTCGATAAAGCCGTTGTGCGCTGTCTGTTTTTATTGAAAATATTTTATTTTTGAAAAAATTCCGTAAGTACTGTATTTCAATTCCATTTTTTTTTTTGTAAAATATGACTTATATTATTTCTGTTAATTTTGTTTAAATTCACTTGTTCGCAAATAGGACCTAATAATGTTTGAAAAGCGCTGCTGTTAAAACTTTTCGCTCATCGTCTTTGTAACCGTCAAATACCGCTTTATGCCTTCGGTGAAGATGCGATTTGAGGTTTCCGAGGTGGTCAGTCGTTAAGCACTTTCCACAAATTGTACAAGCCATCATGGCGTCTGTATTTTGTTTATACAAATTCCGGATAAAACTTCCCCTTTTCCTTCTCATTTTGGGGTTAAGTTGTTGACTTTTTATAATTATTTTTCAAATTTCAAGCACGCTTACTTCGTGCGCCTTCGTTTGTAGATATTAAATACGAGAGCAATGCGTGTCGTTTAGGTATTGCCAGCACAGATTAAAACGAAAACTATGTGTTGATTTATTTCGTTTAAACGTTAACGATTGAGTTTTGTTTCGTTAATTTAGCTTCGAAACGTAACGAAATTATTTTGATCCGTTTTTTTTCTCGCTAACGAAACGAAATCGATTTACATAGTTTGTTGAGCATCAATGCCAGAACCAAAGAAACTGTATTTATAGGGAATAAGTGTCTTGGTCGATGGGTTCAGGATTATGGCAGCCTTACGATAGAGGCCAATTTGTGTCTCTTTGGTTGATTCTCGGGCTGTTGAGCGCCATTTTGAGCGAGTCATATTTGCTTCTCACTAACCCGAAGTCGGCTGGACTATTTTTCCAGGCGAGTTTGTGAAAACCGTCAAACTGCCGGAAGAAGAGGAAAAAATTTAAGCTATTTTTCTTTGATTGATAAGTGAAAAAATATCAAGTGAACCATTAGTTTAACGTTATTGTGTTTGCTGCCGCTCAAATCTTAAATTTATAATTTTGAACGATTTGACATTTAGAGCTCTTCCGTACCTGCCGTCCCTTACTAGTGAACAGTTGCACATATCTCACATTTATCGTGAATATCGGCATAAGTCAAAAACTCTCGATAGGTTAGTCGTGCTTATATGTGAAATTACGACACTTTTCGTATTGCGCCGTTATCATTTCATAGTTTCAGTGAAATACTTAGTAACTTTTTTGGGAAACAACGACAATTTTCGTTTTGTGCCGTTGTTCAGCAATAATAATAGATTGGCGCTTACACATATGTTAGTGTTTGGCCGAGCTTCCCCTCCGACTTGTGGCGTGCGCCTTTATATTGTCACACAAAGCGGAGGGACCTACAGTTTAACGCCGACTCCGAACGGCGTTTGTGTTTTTTGTGAGAAGCTGTTTTTCATGGCAGAAGTACACTCGGAGGTTTGCCATTGCCTGCCGACGGACGACCCCTGTTAAGAAAAAACCTTTTTTCTATATTTTTTGCAATGTTGCTTTGACCAGGGTTTGAACCCGGGTGCTGCGGAGTGGAAGCGCGCACTGCTTACCACTACACCACAGCGGCCGATTCAGCGGTTCAGCAATACAAATGGAATTTTTTTCGATTAACTACTTACGAGTTGTTACTTATTTCGTATTTTTGCAGTCCTACACTTACTAAATCTTTAGCAAAAGTCATAATTTGAAAGCTTACAAATATTCTCTACTGAATGACTGCGAATAATCCGGAATAATTACGATGCAAGACATATTATTGCTAAATTACGAAACACAAAACCTTTAATTGGCTCTACTGAAATATATGAAATGAGTTGAGTTGTGTCGTTATGGCAGATTCCCATCGATATGTGGTGCGCTCTTGGCCATACATTTCGCACTTACGCTCGTTTGCCCGAAACTAGCCCGAAAATATAAAAAACAAACCTGATTTTAAGAAAGAGGGTAGGTAAAGTTACATACACAATCTGCAAAAAACTAAAATTTAATGCTGTATTTTTGGAAAATTTCCCCAATTTCCCCTACCTGGGTCCGCCACTGATAGTGCCGCACTAAATTATTGGCACACGGAATTTTTCACAATGCATGCAACATTTTTTACTTAAAATATTCGGCGAATTTTTTATAAAAACATTGTTGATACTGCAACAAAAAATTCAATAAATTTGCCTACATGTTGGCAATTTAAGATCTGCTTCATTTGAAATCTGGTAGTACTCTACATAGCACAACTTTGTTATCGACTACTCGATCAGCCGTTTATTTAGTGTGGTGATTTTGCAATTGTTGTTTTTATTACAGTTAATTTTCATATGCGTAACTTTAAAAATAATTGATGTGGAGAGCAAAGAACTTCAGCAAAGAAACTCGATTTTGGACGAATTCATGCAAAATCTACACATCTCTCAATGACGGTTAGTAAAACTGCTGAAAATTGGAAGGTCGACGGTACAAAATATATTGTCAAATATCAAGAAAAATGGCAGCATTGAGAGAAAGACGGAATCTGGCGGAAAATCAGGCAATATAAATAAAATAGTGTAGAAGGATGTTCTAAGGACTTTGAAAAGGAATGCGAATCTTTCTGAACATGTTATTGTACTTGGAGTGTTGTTCTGAGAACCTGTATTGTTTTGGCGTGATTTGCCAACAAGCCATTGTGCAAAAAAGCGCAAGAGTTTTATACACAAAATGGAATCAACATTGTACTAAAAGAGGCCAATCCCCCGAATTGCCCAGTGCTGCAAACGACCGAGCGTTATCGGGCCCATATGAAATCAAAATTAAAAAAACAAAATGCACGACTTCAAGAATAACGCAGTTCCGCAGAATGTGGCGAAAACAGGCTCAATCGATCAACGAAAGAGATGTCCAAGTATTAATGGCGGGTGTCATCTCTAAAGTACGGGTATTGTGGCGTGGAAATTAATTCTAATAATATTTGTAAATCTTCAATTTAAATAGAAATAAAACGTTCTAAAAAAGTTTCGACTGAATTATTCACATTTAAATTACCTTTTTTTGTTATCTAATACCTGCCAGATTTCAACTGAAGCAGATCTTAGTATAACAATGATCCAGTTTGAGGTTAGCAAAAAAATCGTATTGATCTTTGGGAATTTATTTGAAGGTAGTTTCTTCCAAACAAAAAAATATCGAACATACTTTGTACTTCATTCATTTTAACCGGGACACAATTACAAACTTTATTTTTACCATACGGCGTATAGTGGCGATTAGTAAATAGATATGTAAATATTTAAAGAGTTCTAATTTTTTTACAACGAGATATCTAAATTTCTTTCTTGCCAAAAACCGGGACATTTTGCGTCCCGGCAGGTATTGTACCGGGACCGGGACCGGGACATAGGTATTAAATCCGGAACAGTCCCGCCGAAAACGGGACGGTTGGCAACCGTGGTCTCAATCGCAATTTCGCCGTATAGTCAATGGGGGATCTACCTGCTTCTAGGTCTACTTATGCCCACTGTTTCACTCGCATTGCAGTCGACTTCGCAGGTCCAACATGTATAAATTTACGCATGGCCGCGGAGTGAAAGCCACCAAGGGCTACATCTGCTCGTTTGTGTGTATCTGCACCGGTGCTATGCATTTGGAATTCGTGAGTGTCCTGACTTCATTGGCATTCCTAAACGCCTTTAAAAGATTCATAAACCGTAGAGGATACTGCAAGGTGATGTTCTCTGACAATGGCACGAATTTCGTTGGCACTGAGGAGTTGCGCAACAATTTCAAACGGTGGATGGCAGACGACACACTCCGCTCGTTTTTTGCTGATTCGAATATCGAATGGCGTGTTAATACCCCGGCTGCACCTCACATGGGAGGATAAAGTACCATTTGAAACGCGGGTGAGACTTACTGTCCGGGTGAGACTTTACTGTCTTTCGAAGAGTTCAGCACGGTACTTACAGAAGTGGAGGCCTGTGTAAACTCCCGTCCGATATGCGAAAATCCGACAAGTGCAGGCGACCTCGAGGCATTGACTCCCGGACACTTTATCATAGGTGAGCCGTTGAAGTCACTCCCAGCACCTGAGGGTCAAGGTTTATGTGGAAATCTCTATCAACGTTGGCAGGTAATTTCTGCGATCCGACAGCATTTTTGGCGTCGTGAAGGGGCGAATACCTGGTGAGCTTACAGCGTCATTCCAAGTGGTTTCGATCCTCACGTAGTATCGAAGTAGGTGACGTGGTTGCTATATTCAATGAGCCTACTCCTCCAATAAAATGGGTCCTTGGCAAAGTCCCGAAATGCCACCCTGGAGCTGATGGACATGTAAGAGTAGTTAAGCTGAAGACTTCTAATGGAGAATATGTTAGACCTATAGCGAAAATTTGTCCTCTACCAACGAAAGGAGATCTATTTTGCGAAGACTTGTAGAAAATAAGTTTAACGAATAATCTTATATATAATATTTTCATCTATTTTTCCATACTATCGATGTAATTTTTGTTGAACATATCAAGATATTTCAAGGGCGGCGGTATGGTATGTTGAGTTCGAATAAGCTAATACTGAAGTTGTAAACCAAGTGTTAATATACACGCCCCCACAAGGGTTAATATTGTGACTCAACACAAGAGTTAACCACGATTGTCATTTGATATTGGCTGCATTTCTTTATTCATTCTAAACGTTTGGAATAAACTTTTTTGTTTACTTATTCTTTAGAACGTTCCTGATGATATGTTAACGTATATTTCAAACGCATTCTGTTTATTCCGGCTGTGAAATGGGATTATCCGGAATGTATAAAGAAACGCAGCCATTTATTTGCTTTCTACTTGCTTTCGTACCACTGCATCGTAACTATCTTTTGTATTCTTGTAACTTTACATTGCACACTTCGTTTTTTGACGTGAAAAGTTACCGCTCACAAACCGCCTAATTTGTTTTATACATTTAGCTGAATTTACCAACCGCAAATAATAGTATTACGAATAAACTACCAATTAAGCTAAATCAACTGCGTTTATTTTTCAATTGGATAACCCCGCTTTAAGTTTGAAAGCTCGCAAGTACAAACCGCCCAAGGCTCTTCTAATAGTCTGTTTAGCATTTATTCCAAAAAGGATTTATAAGGCTCTGCATGTAGACATATTTTTATAAGCTTCCTCCTCTATACTCTTTTTTTCTTCAATTTCATGATTAGTAAAAATCCTCTTCTAATGCAAACTTTTAGATTTCTATAAACATTCTTCATTCAGAGCGATTAACCATTAATTTTTTGTTGAGTAATTAGTCAACAACAAGCATAATTATACACTTCTAAAAATTTTAATGTTTAGAGCAATTTCGCATTCTCTTTTCGAAGTAGGATTTGTCTTCAAAAAAATTGTGAACGCTCTTTAGTCATATCATTTGGAATTTTGCTAGATAAAAAATACTGCGCTTTTGAAGTTATATACCTCTTTAAATTTTCCTGTGTTGGCATTTATTTACTGGCGTTTTATTCAATCGTGCTCGTAAAGATGGAGTCCTGAGAAAACTGTGTTGTAAACTGGTTAAAAAAGAAAATGACAATGTCTGAAAAATGAAGTTTCACAGTGGCGATACCTTCTCTTTTGCACACTATGAATTTTTCGAGGAGAATTCGGGTTTATGATTTTTGTTTTCAAGCCTATATCGTTTTTGGATTGAATGATGAAAATCAACTGGAAATATGTTTTTCATCTTACCGCTTTTCGACCAATATGATATTCCATTTCTGGAGCCCTTGTTTTGGGGAACTTCCCAATCTTCTGGCGAAGCTTCAATGCCAAGACGTCCATTTTCGCGAAATTGCCTATTTAGAGATTTTCTTCGACTTATTTTAATAAAAACTTGAACAAGCGTTTTGTAGATCAAAACTTTGCACGAAGAGAAACGTAAAGAGAAACAACAATTTTTTGTACTCGAAACTTTACTCTTTGAGCGTTTCTTCAGTCAAAGAGAAAATACTCTTTTCAATGCTCATCAAGTAGACTTTTTTAAGACTCAAACAGGAAATACTGTATGCAATGCTCTTCACGTAAACTTTTTTTAAAACTTGAAAGTTTACAATTTGAGAGTTTGGTATGAACTTTCGCTATTCAAACAGGAAATACTTTATTCAAGGCTCTTTACGTAGACATTTTTGGAGGTTTTTAATGTAATGTGCGCATGGATATGCGTACTCATAATTCACACTTATTTTTCTCAGCTCTTTGCACATCAATCCAAGCAGAGCTGAAGTTTTCGCGCGTCAGGCATGTTGTTAAGTATGAGTATAAGCATAGACAGACGGCAACGTTGATCCGGATTGACGCCGCAATTGATCTGATCAAAATTGTGCCTTGACAGACGGCAGTAATGCGGATTAACGAGCCGCGAGGTCGTAGGTTCGAGTCCCACGGCCAGTAGAATATTCATTTAATTTTTTTATTGATTCAATTATAACTTCTATATTTTTTAAAGTTTTTTGACTTTTTTAGTAAAATTAAACTCTAAAAATTTAAGTTAACTAATAATAAAATAAAAACGTGAAATAAAATAAAACAAACGGAAATAAAATAAAAAGCAATTAAATATATAAATCAAATACAATTTAGAAAAATAAAAGAAATAATAAAAACAAAATTTTCTGGCAATCGCTCCAACTGAGGATCGAACCTAGGACCTACAGGCTTGTTGTACGCAGCTAGAACACAAAGAAACTGCAAAACTAGCATAGACATCCACTCTGTCGTCGGTAATGCAGTCACCGAAATAAGCTCTTATACATTTTAAATTGGATTCCTATTTGAATTAGTATGGTGACTGCATTACCGATGAAAATTTATAGGTCCATGCTATTTTCGCATTTTCCCTGTATTCTACGCTCTCTGAGTTTTGGTCAGTGCTGTCATCGAAAATTCCCTTGATCCCAGTTAAGTTTGGGAATTAACTCTAGGAATTAATCCGGATCAACTGCAGTTAATTCCCGAGATAATTCAGAAGTAACGAGTTGATCCGGATCAACGCTGCCGTCTGTTTATGCTTTATGATAGATACCTCTTGCTTTATGCCCTGTATGCAGCTCTCAAGAAAACGGTCAAGAAAAATTTGCCATTATTTAGTGTGTGTGTCCAAGGAATTTTGACATTTTTGATACTTCATAACCTG